AAATGACTAAAATGGCCAGGGCTGAGCTGGTCCAAAGCTGGGAGCCCGTCCGGGTAGCAGGGGCCCAAGCACTCAGGCCATCCTCTACTGCTTCCCCAGGTCACAAGCATGGAGCTGGATGCGAAGTAGAGCAGCCAAGTCATGAACTGATGCCCATAAGGGTTTCTGGCACTTGCAAATGGAAGATTAGCCAATTGAGTCATTATGACAGCCCCATTTTTGGTTTGGTTTTTTTTTTTAAATAACTATGGGGGCCTCGTGCGGTAGCCTAGTGGCTAAATTCCTCGCTTTCATGCACCAGGATCTCATATGGGTGCACAGTTTGTGACTCAGCAGCCCTGCTTCCCATCCAGCTCCCTGCTTGTGGCCTGGGAAAACAGCTGAGGATGGCCCAAACCCTTGGGACCCTGCACCTGTGTGGGAGACCCACAGGAAACTCCTGGATCCTGGCTTCAGATCGGCTCAGCTCCAGCCGTTGCAGCCACTTAGGCAGTGAATCGGCGGACGAAAGATCTTCCTGTCTCTCTTCCTCTCTGTATATCTGACTTTCCAAAAATAAACAGTTTTTTTAAAAACCTGTGAGGACGCCAGGGATAACTGAAAACACATATCTTCACAAAAATGTGCCCACAGATACGGCAGCTTTACACTCAACAGCCAATGCCTGGCACAGCCTCCGTCAACGGGCTGGATGAACTATCTCTCAGTATCCGCAGGAGTCTCGGTATCTGTGACTCCTCAAGTCCCTCAGATATAAAATAAATAAATAAATAAATAAATAAATAAATAAATAAATAGCTGCCGATGGGTCGGAGACCTCCCTTCGGAGGCTCCCTTAGGACACGCAGGCGATCCTCATCAAGCGTGAGCTGGGATCAGGTGGCCGCCTTCCAGTTAGCACCGAGACACAGATACTGAAAGAAAAAACTGATCAAGTGGATTAAACCCAAGTTTAAAGCTCTTTTACCTCAAAGGACAACATCAAGTAAAGGAAAACAGGATGCAGAATTGGAGTAAATATCAGGAAATTGTAGGTCTTCTGGGACACAAAGAAGAATGCCGTATGCATCTCCACTTTCAATTAAAAGAAGGCCCCAATACAAATGTTAAATCAACCCTGACAACAAAACACTAGACTCTCGACCTTTGCTTTCACCTACAGTGTCATGACTGTGAAGAGCAGGAAGCTGGAGCCGAGACTATAGCTGAAGGTGTGTGTGGCGGGGGGAGTGTCCTAGCCCCATGTGGCTGAGGTCATTCCAGAAGAAGGGAGGTGACACACAGTCACACTCAAAGGGAGAACCCGTACGAACAGAAAGGCAGACCTGGAGCTGATGCACCCGCAAGCCGAGAAACCCTGAAGACTGTCAGTAAAAAAGCAGAAGCTAGGGGGAAGCACGGGACCGATCCTTCCTCAAGCCTTCTAAAGGACTCACCCTGCCAACACTCTGATCTTGAACTTCTGGCCTCCAGAACCAGGAAGAACAATGAATTCCTCTTGCTTCTGCCATGCAGTGTATGGCACTTTGTTACAGCAGCCCCAGAGTGCATGTGGATGTTCATACGAGCATAAGGCGTAAGGGCCAGGAAGTAGGAACAAGCCGAATGCTTAGCAACCGATGAACGGATAAAGCAGATGTGGTACGTCAGGTAATGAAACACTATGCAGCACTTAAACGGTGCTGACACATGCGACCACATGAAAGCATTACGTCAAGTAAAAGAAACCAGACACACAACACCACATGCTGTATGGTTCCACTTACAGAACGTGTCCAGGACAGGAAAACTGACAGAGGAAGAGAGGTGAGTGCTTCCTAGCGTTAGGGCGAGGAGGAGAATGGGTGATAACTAATGGGTCTGGCATTTGTTTTAGATGTGATGGAAGTGTTCTGGAATTACACAGCAATGATGCCTGCAAGGCCTTGTAATCCTCCCCAAACTTACTTAACTCTACCCTCTTACATGGATAATTTTGGAGTATGCAGGGCATATCAATTATATGTCTAGTCTTTTTCTAAATATGTATTTATTCCTATTGGCCAATGACTCAAGAACACTTGAAAAGTTGGTGGAAAGAGAATTAAGACTTTTGTTTTACCGTAAACATTTTTTTTGAGATCCTTGTATATTTTTCCGTAATACACATTTCCCACAAACTTTTCAAAGTATTCATGTATGTTGCTTTAAAATAATAACAATGCCAATTATGGTGGAATACTAAAAAAAAAAAATCAAAGGTGATTTCAGCAGTTACGAATACAGTACTAGTGTTTAAAGCAACCAGATTGCATGGGAAAATAATTGTTTCTAAGTCTCACTCTAAATCCCTTACAATCTAGACAGAGTTTTGATTAAGTGGTGGATGGGCGGCTGGACAGCAGGATGAGAAGAGGATGGGTGGATGGTCACTTGGGTCAACTCAGGAAAACGGGAAACAGCACAGGGAACAAGGCTTCATTTTCCTCATTATCATTTTCCAAAAAAACTACAATGGGAAAGGAATCTGTAACCTACCTACAAAACCTTGAGAAATTGGGATTTACTCTGAAACTCATAGGCTGAATTGGAGTTCAAGTTTCATTATAACAAATTCAAGGCACTGGTTGATATTGTGTTTTTCTGTGTTAACGCTTTAAAGCGATAAATAATTGGGCCACCACAGATATTTTAAAAAATGGATTTTTGTGCATGATATAATTTGTTCTGCAATAACATCAACAAAAAGAATGAAATTTTCATGCTCCGTTTGGGTTTAGCCATGCGTGAATAGTCAACTTTCAACCCCCACTCCACCACTCAAAGCTCCAGGAAAAACAAAGCCATATCTATAATGCCGGCCAAGAGAGTCTTACCTCTGTGAATTCCTTGGGAAGCTTTTCACTCTGGGACTCCTGGTGTTCCCCTTTTACACACAAGCTGGACCACTGACGGCTTCCTGGAGACTTTTGGGGTGCTGTCTGAAGACCCTGGACCCTGCTCTTATTGTCTCCTTTCAACTCAGCTCTCCAAACAGGATTTAAGGAGCAGCCTTGAGCCAGTGAGTGACGCCCAGAACACACCCCTTTCTCAGTAGTCCTACACCTGTTTAAAGAAGAAATTACATCTCTCTTTGGAAGGGAAAGTGGCTGCCAATCTTTGGAGGAAATCAACATGTTATTCTCAGGAGAGCTGGAGGATTTCCAAAAGAGTAGGAGTGGCTAAGGGACAGAAAAGTTTTGCCCTTGCAAACATTTTTTTCAGGGCTATTGCTGTCTAGAATTAGAGGGCAAAATGTTGGTGCTCTAAGCACGGGAGCTTTGGGGGATCGATGCTAAGAAGAGCTGCAGAAAGTTGAGAGCCTTGAAGCTGTCCTTGATGGTGGCAGTGTGGAGGTCTCTGTGCTTCTCACGACCACTCTACGCGTTGCGTCAGCCTCTTCTTGCCGTTTAGCCCATGCCATCTCCACATGCAGTGCTTTACGGAGGTGGATATCAGATCTCTTATGGCAACAAGGGGAACAACTCAGTTTCTTGTCCACACGATAAGGTATGGAAGTAGGAACTCAAACATGTATTTGCACATCTTCTCCCTCCAAATGATAGTTTTCTACTCATTGAATGGGTAGTACCTCATTAAACACGGATTGAACACTTAACATGTGTCTTCAACTGTGTTGCTCAAATCATGATACCGACATGGAAAGTACACAAACATTTTCTTTAAGGGTCGAGTCATGCTTCTTCCATGAGCATTGGTTAGTCCTTCCACACAGAGCAGAAATGAGGGCTAAAACACAGTCCCATCCAAAAGGTGATTCTGAGTTTGTTCAACTCTTCTGGAACCCTGTTTACTAACTGTGAAAACTAAGAATCAAATAAGAGGGGCAGGCATGGTGGTGCAGTGAGGTAAACCACCTGCTGGGACACCAGCATTCCCATATCAGAGTGCCAGGTTTGAATCCGAGCTCCTCCACTTCCAACTCAGCTCCTTGCCAACGCACGTGAGAATGCAGTGAATGATCGTACGCACACTTGGGTCCTTGCCACCATGTGGAAGTCCTGGTTTGACCTCCAGGCTCCATACTTTGACCTGGCCCTGGCAGTTGTGGGTATTTCAGGCAGTGAAATGGCAGGTAAAAGATCTGTATCTGTCACTCTCCTTTTCAAATAGTGCCAATGATACTTAATACCAGCTCAGTTACCAAACAGAGTATAATTCCCCTGGATAAGGATCAGTCATTCAGACAAAAGAGTCAACAGGATGACTTCTCAAGTTCATGGGTGCTTGCCTGACCAGGTGTCCTAAGAAATCTTCAATGAACCCACAGGTCCAGGCAATAAGGGCATGTGTTAGAATTTGTCCAGGTTGACACATCTCTTTTCTCTGGTGACTGCAGCATATTGCACCTGATGGTGCGCCAAGTCCTGGTGATGCCGTGTTGTCACACTGCATTCTTACAGGATTTAACAATGCAGGGGGCCCCTCCCGCCTGAGAGTATTATCTATTCTTCCTCATCTGGTGTGAAAGCTCGTGAGAACGTTCCTAAGGCTGTAATGCTACGCTCTGGACGAGAGGAAAAGCTCTTGGAGGAATGGGGAAATGAGAGTAACATTACCATAATCTTCTCTGGGATTACTGGTTTATGTAGCTCTATTGTTCAGCCTGCGATTATCAATACGAAACGTTACAGAATCATTTTGAATAAAGATATCTAATAAAAATGACTCCTTTATTGAGCATAATACTCAAAGCAATGTGAGAAGACATCGGTTGCACACTGCCCCTCATTTCTCCATCATTTATTTGATAATTAAGACTCCACACAAAGTGATTTGCCAACGTAGCCCCGCTGTGACATGGCTGCGTCACATGAAACCCCAAGGAAATAAGGAACATGGAGCTGCATGCTGCAGCCTAGCCAGGAGCTATTTCCCAAGGGGACACCTTGCAGAGGTGACATCAGAGGCGAGACAGGACCCGTGGGGGGACAGAGACTGACGCGCATGGTGCAGATGGGCAGCCTAATCCTCCGCCGTCCCGTCCAGTATTTGTTTAAAGGAGAAGGGAGAAAACTTGTAACCAGCCCCAACGTAGAACTTGTTCTGGAACTCCACCCTGTGGTGGGGAGGCAGAGGGAGAAAAGGGGGATTACATCCACAGGCTGCACGCTGACAGGTGCATCAAGGAGAAGAACTTTGGGCAGATGAGCAGGTCTAAAACACCTGCCAGGAAAGCAGCTGGGCCAGTGGCTGCTCTTAACTTCGGCTTGGCTCCCCCTCTGGCCATTGTGGCCATTTGGGGAGTAAATCAACAGCTGGTAGATTCTCTGTCTTTCCCTTTCTGTCCTTAACTCTGACTTTCACAAAAACAAGTCTTTTTAAAATAAAAAAATAAATAAAATGATACCATTGATGACTAAACTCATGCTCCAACAAGGTATGTAAATTACTCATGTGGCACAACAGGGCAGGATTTGAACCCAGTTAGCTGGCTGCACAACCCAAACTGTTCCATAGCACCTGCCACCCGGACCCTGATCGGGATATCCCTCCTTACCAGTGCAGCCGTAGGGCGTGCAGGAAAGCAGAGAGGCCCTCCATGACGAGCAGGATGGCAACCGTCAGAACAGCAAAGACGGCAAAAATGATGAAGACCCCAACAAGGCCCCCCCAGCCCCGCAGGCTGAGGCCAATGTTCATCACCATGGTCCAGAGTACTTCCGACAGTTCTAGAAGACACAGGAGCAGCGCTGTCAACCACAGAAGGATCTTGTGACTGTGAACCACTGTGTGCTATCATCCTGCACCTGCCCAGCCTGCCATTCGGCATCTCTGCTTGGAGGGCAGAACCGGGAAGTGTGTATCCTAGAGGGTGGGCACCCGCATGTCTACAGAGCTTGCGTAGAGCTTCCCACAAGAACAATGGGCAAATACGTGATGGCATGATATGCACCTGTGAAAGTCGGCCAGTTAACAGCTCCTGAACAAATCTGGATAACAAAACTGATATTCAGAGAAGTAAGATACAAAAGAATACATGTGCCATGATTTGATGTGGGCTGAATGTTTGTCTCCATAAGATTCCTAGGTGAAACCCCAACCACCCGAGTGATGATGTTTGGAGCAAGGACTTTTGGGAGGAATCTGGAGTTAGACAAAGTTATAAGAGAATTAATAAGCTTTTTTTTAAAAAAGATTTATTTTATTTATTTAAAAGGCAGAGTGACAAAGAGGGAGAGATTTTCCAGCTGCTGGTTCAGTTCTCAAATGGTTACAACAGCCAGGGATCCCAAGGCTTTGGGCCGTCCTCAGCTGCTTTCCCAGGCCACAAACAGGGAGCTGGATGGGAAGCAGGGCCACGAGGACACGAACTGGCACCCATATGGGATCCCAGTGTGTGTGAGACAAGAACTTCAGCCACTAGGCTACCACACCAGGCCCAAAAGCTCTCTCTTTTTGTTTCTCCTTTTCTCTCTGTAACTCTGCCTTTCAAATGAATAAATAAAATTGTAAGTAAGAAATCTTAAAAAAAAGAAGGAGGAAGAGAAGAAGGAGAAAGAGGCTGCCTATATTAAAACAGCTACTCCGGCAGACTAACCACAGGTAACCAAGAGGATGCACCTGTACCTACAGGTCACATCACACCTGCTTCCCAGGGGAGCGGGCCGCTCACTCACGTGCATGAGCCAGGCTGAGAGCCCAGAGCCGGAGGTAGGAGGCTGTATTCGAAATGCACCCCAGACAGTACTCAATGGTGTGGATGGCTTGATGGACAAACACGTCTCCAAAGTTGAACTGAAAGAGAGGGTTATAAAACCTATTTCAGGAAGTCTTTTCCTACATGAAACGGAATACAACCCAAGGATGTGCACTTGGCTGTTGAGATGCTGCCAATACAGTGAGGACAGACATTGCCACCCTTGGGGAAAGAGCATTAGAAACACAGCTCAGAACATGGTGCGTGTGCACTCAAAACAAAAAGTTCAAGGAAGGAGACATGAGCTACGTGATGCCGTGAAGGACGTGTGAGCATCCGGAAGTAAGAGGGGAACAAAGTATTCCTAATGGAATCGGGTGGCAGATGGTGGCTGGGAAGGCAGAGGTGGGTGGCTGGGAATGCCAAAGTTTAGGAGCGAGCAATCTGGCAGAAACAGGAGCTCAGGGAGGCAGGGAACAGAAGATGATGCTCGGGTGTGGGACATTCTGGGGAAGCCAGGTGCAGGTTGAGTGGAGACATAACTTGCAGATAGTCAAGAGCCACGGGAGGTAGCTGGGTGGAGTAGGGTGGGGAGGATGGATCTGGCAGCATAGTGAGTTAGAAAAGAGACAGTCCATGAGCAAAACAAACAGAAAGCTAATGTGGTGGTTAGCTTAGTAATACAAAGGAGCCGAAGCCCACACTTTCCTTCCCTGTACTCCATGCTGTGCTGGAACTACTGGCTCACACTGTCCTTGCCCTCAAGCAGCTCACAGTCCAGAATATGCAAACATGTGGTGGCAATGTGGGGGACACAGAGAAAGGCCCTTACCCAGGTAAGCCAGCTCTAGAGTGGGCTCTGAGGCTTTTAGTGGGAGAGAGAGGCCAGTGGCTGAATCATGACAGGTGAGTGTCAGGTGCCAGTGGGACCCCTGGGCAGAATTTGAGCATACAGTTGCACAGGTGCAGCTGAGGTTCAAAGGGCAAGGCCTGGTTGGAGATAGAGCCCAGGGGAGAGAGAAAAGACTAACAAGGTCAAGATCACAGACCAAGGAGCCTGCAGCTTTGGGGCAGGTCTTCACAGGAGGACAGGGAGGGCCCAGGAAGCTGGGGAGGTGAGAGTTGCAGTCAAGAGGGCCCAGGAGAGAGAGGCATCTGGGAGGAAGGAGGCCGTCAGTCCACCAGGCTGGAAGTCCTGGTGAAGAAACAAAAGCCCAGGCCTGCCATCTCAGCAGTGCCAACAATATGAGGGACAGAGGCACAGGGCCGGGCAATGACACCGTGTGCTGGTAGATGGCCAAGGGAGAGAAGGCATGTGCAATGGAGACCCGGCTTCGTCCCAGCTCCTGGGAGGTAAACGCTGAACCCCTGGCATTTCCCAAGTGGAAAATGTCTTTATGATTCATGGGGGTCCCTGGGACCACCCCTAATCGTTAATACTGCAGAGGCAGTGTGTGCTAGACACCCAACACTTTACATGAGGGCTGGCTACACCACAAAGACCAACCATGTGATTTGAGCGCAGATGCTGCTCTCCAGGGATGGGAGGGAACCAGAGGCTGAGTGTCACTGGGCTAAAATATTAGCATTGGTCAATAGCACCTCTGATCTTCTAACACCTTGTGCCTTCCCTGGGACTAACCTGACCGCCCATGACACACGAGCTACATGGCTGTTGACCAGCAGGGACCTCTGGTCTCTGTCTCGTTCATGGTCATGGGCCTTCTCATGGATCAGGACTGTGCCCCCAATGACTGCTAAAACCAGACCTATTTTCCAGAACCAGCACAAACTAGAAAGCATTCCTTCGGCACCCTGGTCCCACATACCTCCTCCTCACTGTCGTCCGCAGCCCCATGGGCACCTGCAGAAGTCTTCTGCCCGGAGCTGCTGGATGGGCTGGGGCTGCCACCTTCGACATCCTCTGTGGCATCTTCGTGGATCATGGCTGAATGCAACTGTGAGTGAGCAAGGACATGAAGATGGCACCAAGATGGCACCCCACACCCGTAACAGGAGAACAAGCTTATGCCAAGTAGCCTCCCAAGTAATCATTTCATGCAAGTGCAACTGGCACTCAAATAGAGGAGCAAACAGTAACACAGGACAATCTGGGCATACCCCAAGATAACACAGCACAAAGGCCAGCAAGCACTAGAGCCAGGATTCACCAGGCAGTCTGTTCCCGGCGCATACATGTCTCAACAAGAGGCCCCAGCAGGTGCCAAATCAGATAGTTTTTTTTTTTTTTCTTATTTCCTTCCTTCCTGTTTTTTCTTTTTAAAAAAAAACATTTATTTATTGGGTTCAGCATGATAGCCTAGTGGTTAAATCCTTGCCTTGTATACACCAGGATCCCATATAGGTACTAATTTGTGTCCTAGCTGCTCTACTTTCCTTCCAGCTCCCTAAATGTGACTTGGGAAAGCAGCAGACGAAGGGCCAAAGCTTCCCCTGGCCTTCTCACATGGGTGCAGGAGTCCAAGCCTTTGGGCCATCTTCTACTGCTTATCTGTTAGCAAGGAGCTGGATTAGAAGTGGAACAGCCAGGACTTGATCTGATTCCCATAGGGGCTGTCTTCATCACAGACGGCAGCTTAACACACTGCACCACAGCACCAGCGCTGCCATTCACAGCCTTTCAGTGTTTCAGTGTGTGTCCCAAAGCGCCTTCCAACTATGGAAGGAAAACATACTGCTGCAAATTGTCAGTTGGCCCCACAGCAGTAACCTCGAACAGCCACATTTCCATGGGCAAGACTAACAGAGTGCCTGCTTTTTCAATGCAAATATTCCTTTCTTTAAATCATTTTACATAATTAGCTTAGGGAAGTCAGTGTTGCAGCACAATGGTTTAAGCCACCATCTGCAACACTGCCATCTGATTCGGGGTGACTTTGCGGATATTTGGAGAGTGAAAGAGCAGATGGAAGATTTCTTTCTCTGTCCTGCCATCTCTCTCTGTCACTCTGCTTTTCAAATAAATAAAATGCATAACGAGATGTCTCAGAATGGAATCCACATCTAAACATAAGAGTTACTTATGTTTCATAGCCACCTTGTACTCAAACCCTAAAGGTACTCAGTGTTTTCAGAATGCCTTCATGTTGAGTACGATCCGTCACATGAGCTCAGGTGTGGAATTTCTACTTGTGCCATTGTGCTAGTGTTCAGAAAGTCATGGATTTGGGAGCATTTTGGATTTGAGATTAGTGATGCTCCATCTGTATTTCTTTCAAGTCACTGTGAAGTGTTGTATAGCACATTTTCAATGTGCCTTTGCTAGAATGACTTCAACGGAGAAGTATTATAAATTAGACACTAAAATATCTCTACCATTCTGTTGTAAAGGAGTTTGCAATAATATCTGCCGAGTTCTGAGCAGAGGTAAGAATGGAATCCATATGCAATAGGTTTAAATATTTAAAAATTATAAACCAAACCTGCCAACTCCCAACTAAAACATGTTCTAGCGTCCTTGTTTGATGAGCATCTCCTGCTATGTATTTGCACCCAGCCCTCCAGGCTTTCAACAAGTGGTCCCCAAAGCTCCCATCATCCTCATCTCCCCCAGAGCAACCAACCAACAAATAAACAAGCTTTGCTTTTCTTCCTCTTTGTTCCGGCCTAGATGGTGTTCCAGATCTACATCCACGCAAGGTTTTAGAAACTAGGATGCAGCCTGACAAGATCTAGAAACATTAACAACATGTGTGATCTTCCACTTAATCCACTGCTCCAAGGAGGGCAGTAGACCCCAAGGTCTCAAACAGCCTTTGTGTGTCATTTCTAGACTTGGTGTCCCCTGAAGGGCGTTCACATTCTGAAACTCAATTTGTGTGGGGAGCGGGGTGCTAAAGCCACTCCTGGGTTTGGGAAGGGCGGTTGTAAGATGGCGGCTGGCCCAGGGCCAGGAGGTGGAGTTGGTCTCGCCAGCAGGTAAACAGGAAGTCACAGGGATAGGCTAATTCCCCCGCTGTGACTATGTCATTGCTACTGGCCTATCAAGTAGCGCCAAGTGGACCCACAGGGAGAAGTGGTTGGTGGAGAATGATATAAAAGTAGCCATCATAAAAGCTGGGATGGACGGACGACGACGAGAAAGGCAGAGAGACAGCAACGGAGAAGACTAGGGCAGGGGAAGATGGACGGGGAAAGCAACAAGGGCCAGAGCAAGAGGAGAGGGATGACGGAGAAAGATGGGGCGAGGAGAAGGACGGGCGGGAAGAAGGGTGGCGGAGAGAGGGCTGGAAAAGCCGGACCTAAGTAAGGGGACAAGAACGGAGAAATGCAGCAGAAAACGGGGACAAGAACGGAGAAGGGTGGCGGAGCGAGGGCTGGAGAAGCGGCACAGGAAAGCTAAGGCCAATGGGGACAGGAGCAGCAGAGAAAAGGATTTACCCGTGGCCGCTTTTGGCAGTGAGGGGTCCGGTTGCGGTTCTGGCTTTTCCCGGACCCTCAAGAGTATGCCTCATCTTTTTAGTGTCGCTGCTGGGCGGCGACAAATTTGATTTGGGTTGATATTAAACTCTTCTCCACTGAGTAAATCTGAGGCTCAGGAACCACTTAGCCCGAAGGAGAGAAGGGCTGGAACTGGTATTTGGCAACTGGAGCAAGTAGCACAAATCAACCAGTACTGACGTCTTTGAATGAGTTTACTGCTCTTGTTCACTGACAAGCAGTAACATGACATAGCAAAATGTCACAATTTTAAGACACTAATGAAGAACACCTTTTAATATTCATTTAAAACCTCCAAGCTAGTAAAATACTCATGTATTCAACTAACAAAAACAGCCACGTTCAAATCCTTGTAAGCCGTTAGCTCCCACCCAACAGCACAGACAAACACACCCTGAGCGAAATCTGATGTGAGATGTAAAGAGTGTTCAAACACAAGCTGATTGTTGTGCTGGAAATAAAAGGGCCCAGGGCTAACTCGCCAGGCATGAGGCAGCTGTGGGCAGGGCAGCTCTCCAACTTCACCGCCATGGTGCTTCAGATCCTTGGGAACCCTGGGCTCTCTCTAAACTCCAGACCTCAACCTGCTGCAGCCCACTTCCCTGCCCACAGCGGGTGGTGACGCAGAAGACACGCCCCTTACCTGGGACTTGCGGTGATTGGCTCTAAGAACAAACGGCTTAATCAGAAGCATCCACGGCACGGAAATCAAAGCCATAACGACAAAGAAACTCTGGACTTCCTTCTGCAAGACCCAAACAGCAAGATCCTGTCATCTTCATGGGACCACACAGCACACACACAGCATCAAGATGGTAGACTGCTGAGTTACGCCATGGCACGTTGAGCTATCCTTACCCTTGGGCCCCCCGCCCTTTTTCTATACTCATTGAGTGCCAGCGGTGAGCAGTCACTCGGAGTTGCCACTGTCCGAGGAAAGGCCATGCCGTCTCTCGAGCCTTCCCATGCTTCGGCTGATCCAACTATGCTTCCAGGGAATGCCAGGAGACTATTATTATCCCAACGGTTACAAGATTCACCCTGGCACTGGCAATAGTGGGAACACTTTATCCTTGCTCCATCTTCTATACTGGTTCCACTTTGAAATGCTCAATGGAGGGAAGGGAGGAAAGTGCGTGATCCTATGTTGAACTGACCATTTCCTGGCTCCTGGCTTTGGATTGGCTCAGCTCTGGCCATTATAGCCATTTAGGGAGCAAACCAGCAGATGGAAAAATCTCTCTCTTTTCTCTCTGAATCTGACTTCCCAATAAAAATAAATAAATAATTAAAAAGGAAAAAATTAAGAAGATTTACTTAAAAAGTGTCACAACAATAGGGTAAGGGATACTACAAAAAACCTTTGAGAGGCTGTTTCTTCTTGGATGGATATCTAACATAGTTTCTTGTGCAAAGCCTGTCGCAAGGCCTCTTTCTTTCCATCTGATGCTCCTCCAGGGAAGAGCACAACGAAGAACCAAGTCATGACCTGTGTGGTCCTGGAGGCAGCGGTACTTCCCTGGGACACCCAGCAGGGGCAATGACCTGCACCGCCAAATGAGCTATCCGGCCCTCGTGAAAACTCCCTGCCGACAGCGGTGGGCTAAGCATCGGCATGAGCTAGGGCGAAGACCAAGCCATCCTTATGAACTAATGACTCATTGTTGCTTTCATATCCGGTTCTCAAGGGATATTTCTAATTCCTAAAGATAAAATATCAGGTTGACAAGAGACTGAGAAGCCTGACTCTTGGACGCACAGAGGAGCAAGAGGCAGAAAACGTCCCATCTCCACTGCCCTCGTGCTTGCGGTCTTTGAGCTGGCCACTGGTCACGTGAACACAGGGCCTCTCCTGTTGATTCTATTCTAATCCTTATTGTAAAACTTCAGAGTTAATTGTTGAATAAAAGGTTAAGCTTTTAAGATGCTGTTCAGATTATCTCGCAGGCTCAAACAAACTTGAAGGATTTTTTTTTTTCCCTTTTCATATCCAATTTCAAACCCCTTTGCAATAATCCCTCCCCAGTGCGATTCCATCGGGAATGGCTGCAGACTCGGGCCCCCTCCGAGCCTGGCACACTGGTCTGGTGAGAGCCTGCTGAAATTTAAGAGAATTTGTACCTTTTACTGGGTGTTAGAAACAGCTCAGTCTTGCAAATACAACACACTTGAAAAAGTTGTTGGAAAATGAAATTAACGCATTTTAGTGCAAAAATACTTTTAAAAGTCTGTTTTTTTTTCTTATAACATGCATTATCTGGGAACTTTTGGAAAATGAAATGGATTTCAATTTTTTTTTTTTTGGCAGCAAAAATCAACGTATTTTTTAATCCCATGCCCCACAGGTGCCCTCTGGTAAACTCTTTGCCGTCCACTGGAGATTCGAGAGCGCACCTGGTGTCTGTAGAGAGGTGCGTTGGCAGCTTCGTTGTAGTCAAACAGGAACATGTTGATGAAGTGGATGAGGATGCTGGGCGCGTGCTGCGACGTGTGCACGTCGAAACGGCACCACTTGAAGACGACCATGAACACCAGGTAGCCAAACAGACACAGGAGAAAGATCAGCTCGGGGATAAATTGCAAAACAATGTTGAGAGTCTTTCTGAAGTATCTGGAAGCACATAACACGGAGGGTGGGGGGGAAAGACCAGCAGTTTGTTATTCTCCCCAAAGCCCAAAGCGAAACAAAAACCACTACTGCCAAGCAGCAACTCTGGGAGGATGGAAAGAAGAGCACAAACACACCCAGAAAGTGCTTTCATATATAAAATGCATGCAGGGGCCTGGCATGGGTGCTTGCCTTGAACGCGCCTGGATCTCCTATGGGCACAGGTTTGTGTCCCGGCAGCCCCACTTCCCGTCCAGCTCCCTGCTTGTGGCCTGGAAAACCAGTCAAGGACAGCCCAAAGCCTTGGGTCCCTGTACCACATGGAAGATCTCAAAGAGCTCCTGGCTCCTGGCTGCGGATTGGCTCAGCTCCAGCCATTGTGCCCACTTGGGGAGGGAATCAGTGGGTAGAAGATCTTCCTCTTTGTCTCTCCTCCTCTCTGTATATCTGACTTTCCAATAAAAAAATAATTAAATCTTTTTTTAAAAATTCATACAGAACCACGATTTGAAAGGGAAGTTTCAAAGCAAAGGCCACACCCCAAAGGGATGCTCCAGCTGCAGCTTCACTCAGAGCGATACAGAAGCACAGGTGCAACGCCGGCATCCGGAAGTGTTCCTCCAAGAAGGCTTTCCGACAGCAGTCAGCAAATCAAAGCACACAGATCAGACTGAGCCGACATCAAAAAGAGTTGAGAAGAAATGAGCAAGAGGCTGCCGGAAGGAAGGACACTGGATGGAAAGCAGCATCAGAGGGGCCGCTGGCTAGAATTTGCTGCTGTCCCACTGTTGGCATTAATGGAAGCCAAGCCTGCAAGCAGGTTGAGGGGCACAGTGTGACAGGCTTATTTCTGAACCCTCAAATATTTCCAAGGTGAGAGCTGCGCTCACTTCCGAGAGATTCTGCTCAGGAGGGACAGGTGTCACCACTGAGCCCGACTAAGACACACAGAGATGTGCCCCGCTCCACCCCGCCCGGCAGGAAAGAGGCTGGTGCTGGGGACACCCCGCTAAGGCCTGAGTTGTGTCCACACTCCTTGATGCTTGCAGATCAACCAGCAGAGGCTGAGTCAGGAGGCTCACATGTGATTGAAGAGGCTGAGAACGACGCCGAAAACCATCTGTGCGATCCCCAGGATGACCGACATCTTCATTTTGTAGGAGTTCAAGAACGTGAGCTTGTTTGAAGCCAAGTTCCAAATCTGGAGGGGAAATGCCACAGGAAACAGATGAGACCGAGCCTCAGGTGGGGCTCCCCCTGCTGGTGGGGCTTCAGCATGACTGTCCCTGCAGACATCCTGGGGACCTCGGGCCTGTGTGTGCAACAGAGAAAGACCACTCCCTTCAAGAGCGCAACTTTCACGGAAAAAAAAAAGTCAGAATTCTTAATGTCATGATCAAGTTTCTGGAAGAAAACCAAAGAGCCTTCCTTGACTTCTCTCTTGCACTAAATAAGATCATCTGCAACATCAGGGAAAAATCTCAAGCTTGCTTCAATTCCCCTGCAAATGGCTGGTACCAGGCTGGCCCATGAAGGAATATGTCCAATCCATTAAGACCAGGGTGGGGAGCGGTTTTTTTTTTGTTTGTTTTTTTTTGTTTGTTTTTTTTTTTTTGCGCAGAGCCATTTGGATATCCATAACATCATTCACAAGCCATACAGAATTGTCAACTTAAAAATGAGCCCGCTATAGATTGAAGTTTGAGTCCCACCTGTAGTTGCCGTGGCCGGGCAAGACAAGCTGTCACAGGTCTAACGCAGTCTGCAGGCCGGATACCCCCACCCTCCTTTAGAATAACACCACCATTTACTCTGAATTTCCACATCAACTCCCTTTACAAACTTCCCTTCTCTAAGAAGCCTTTTCTATAACCAATACTGATGAGTGCCAGGGGTAGCACCCAGTTCCTACCTTGCACACAGTACCTGTCCCAGCTTGCAAGGTGGGGACCCATGTGCCTGTCCTGCCCCAAGAGAAGCACAATGGTTAAGACATGGGGTGAGTGCTTAACCAGCTAATGACCCACCTCTAACTCTCCTGCCCTCACAGAATCTCTACTTCCATCCCAACTTGCTTCCCAGTCCTTGCGCCTCCCCTGACGGGCACAGACCAGACCGCCCACTGGAGGTCAACACACTCCACCTGCATCTCAGGGGGAAGACAGCAGCCTGTCTCACCGGCCCTCCAAAATGACTTCTTTCTTCACAACAGACTCTCTGTGGTCTGTTAAAGGGCCAGCATTGAGATAGGCAAGAGCCTCAACACAAAGCGATTTCCAAAGCTAGATGACATCAGAATTTGAAGGTGAACTTGGAAGTAGGTGTTTGGCCTCAGCGGTCAAGATGCACGCATTCCTGGGTTGGGTTCCTCCCTCGGGCTCCTGACTTCAGCTTCCTGCTAACGGCAGCTCTCCCGCCTGGTGACCCAGATGGAGCTCCTGACCGTTTCACGGCCTGTCCAGTCCTGGCACTGCGGCCATCTGCAGTGACCCAAGGTGTCAGAATTCTCGGTTTCTCATCTCTTTCTGTGACCCTCTGTCTCTCCAAGAAACAAAACATTTAAAATCACCACCGCCAACAGCAAAAAAAAAAAAATTTAAAGAGATATTTCTTTTGGTTTCAAAAATGAAGTTTTAGAATCCATGTGTAGATTTGTGATAATATGCATTTCTAAGAACTCTCTAAAAACCTCCACTTCTGTAATCCCCTGGATTCCTCCACCAAGAGCTCATGGGACACAGGTGTGCGCACACACACACACACACACACACACACACACACACAGGAGCTACACCTCATTGGATCTTGCTTTGCAAGGTTCCGAGTAGGCGTTACCTGGCAACCACCCAGAACCCTGCTGGGCAGCAGTGAGAAGGGTACCAAGAGCAAGTGCCTGAACCCCAAAGCCCCTCCTTCACCCTCACCCATCTGCTTTGGCTTCTCGGCTGCACCAGGCTTGCCCTCAGCCCTGTCTTTTTGCCCGTGTGGCTGACCAGTTCCTGTAAGAAGGCTCAGCGCAAGGAGGGCCAGGTTGCAGACACACTGTTGACCCAGCCAACCAGCTGTACAGATAACGGCAACCGTGATGTATCCGGCACCTGCCAAGTTGAGAGCAGCTTTCAGCAACTTTTAAGTTCCTTTGAATTTACCGGGTCGCAAGGCAAACCAGACTTGGGCCATGCTTTCTGTTTCAATGAGGGAGGGAGCACCCAGGAAAACTGGGGAGGGATTAACCCACTCTAGGGAAAAACCAGAGAAGATATTTTAGGTCCAGTACTGCTTTTTGGTTTAGATGCCTCTTTTTGAGGCACAGAGAAAGGCCATCAGCTCCCATCTGCTGGCTCTTTCCAAATGCTGCAACAGCCAGGGTTAGACGAGGACCAAAACGGAGAGGCAGTAACAGGTCAGGTCCCACTGGTGAGGGAATCCAGCTACCGCAGCCCTCACCACCCCCTCAGGGTCTGCATCAGCAGGAAGCTGGAGCCAGGCACTGTGATGCGGCCTTCACAACCGCTGGCCCCAGCGCTCCTCCACAACAAGAGGGCCTGCCACAGTCACCTCAAACACCCGTACTCATCCGGAGCACAGGGGCGCCACCTGGTGGCGGCAGGCACTGGCGGGCTCCATGAGCACCGCTCAACAGACACCCCAACTTGTTCTAAATCACAAATAGCAGAGCCAAGACTTAAACCCCACGCGCCTACTCCAAATGCCTTTAACATCCGAAGGCTGGGAGACAAGCAAGCAGCTTTGTTTCCCTTGAATCACATCTACTAGATTAAATAAGTAAAGCAAGGAAAAGAAAGTACCTACTTTAAGAAAGCTTTCAGCAATTCTAAAAATCAGTAAAAATAAAAGCAAATCCACACTTCTATGGGTCTGTTCCTCTTTCAACCCAGGTACCTGCTTCAGCGCCAGGAAAGGCAGTGGGAGATGGCGCACATACTCAAGTCTCTCGCACCCACATGGGAGAACCTGGCAGAGGCTCTCGGGCCTCTGGCTTCAGCCCGACCCAGCCCGACGAGGTCATGCAGTGAGTCGGGGAGTAGACCAACAGATGGAAGACCCTCTCTCTCTTGCTGTCTCCTGTTCTATTTTCTAACCTCTTTGTAACTATTTTCAAATAAACATTTAAAAATTAAAAATAAAATACATGATTTCCAGGCAACCAATGACTTTTTAAGTTATTTTTAAAACTTGTTTTTTTTTTACTTGGAAAGATCAAGGTAACAGAGGGAGGAGAGGCATAGAGAGATTTCTCATCCGCTGGCTCACTCCCCAATGGCTGCAATGCGCCAGAGCTGAGCTGATCTGAAGCTGGGAGGCAGGAGTTTTTCCAGGTCTCCAATGCGGGAGCAGAGACCCAAGGATTTGGCCCATCCTCTGCTGCTTTTCCAGGTCATAATGAGAGAGATGATTGGAAAGTAGAGTGGCCAGGACATGAACTGGTGCCCATATGGGATGCTGGGGTCTGCAGGCAGATGATTAACCTGTTATACTGCCACATAGGCCCTGGACTTTTTTTTATTATTATTATTAAAATTCTTTCATCCACTAGTTCACTTCCAAAATGGCTACAATAGATAGGGCTGGGTTAAGCCAAAACCAGGAGTCAGGAGTCTCCCACTCTGGTAGAAGCAGCCCAAGTACTTGGATTATCTTGCAGGAAGCTGGATCAAAATTAGAACAGCTGGGATTTGAACCCAGGCCCCTAGGAGATGTTGGCATCGCAGAGAGCAAATGAATCTGCTATGCCACAGTGCTGGTTCCAACCAAGGACCTTTTAAAAATAATGTCAGGGTATAACTGATGGCAATAAATAAATAAATAAATAAATAATGAAAAACAAAGGTTTGAGGAATGTGATGGCAATGACCCAGCTCAAGGTGTTAAAACCTTTCAGGACAAGTTATTCCACTTTGATGTGAGCCTGGTGATCTCATGGGCCTGGCATTTTCTTTTATTCTATCCAGAGATTGCAACAAGACACTTTACATAATCAGTATTTAACCCAAGGAGATGCGATTACCGGATCAATCCCAAATGGGTATGGGTTTCCAGAATATACTCCTGGCACGGCCGGGTCCAGCTGTAAAAGTGGAGTTGTCTCCAGGACTTGAGTACTACAGAGGAACAAGAAGAAAAAACAACAAAACAAAACATGAATCAACCATGGGTGGGGAGAGAACTACAGTGCATGCCACTGGATGGGAACCCGCAGGCCCAGCTGGGCTCAGCTGCAGCTACAACCCGCCAGGGTGGTGTCCTAAAGTCACCCCATGCATGGGCACTGGCTGGACGCTATGCAGGTGCCGAAGCTACGGCAAAGATCATTCGGCCACCGAGGAGCTGGAAGCCTGATGGGGCAGAGTAAAAAGCTAGGAGCTGTGATGTGGAGGCAGCCCTGCCCGGGGCGCGGAGCAGGGGGAGGATGGACAGATGGGGAAGGAGAGAAGTCTTTCCCTGGGGAACACCTGGGTTTTAACACAGAGACCTCGGTCTTGGGGAAACAGCCCTAAAATGCTGTCAGTATTTTATAACCTTTAAGTCTGGGCCCCATTTTCACCCAGGAGCAGGACTATCAGTGAGGAGCAGTTTCTGACTCCGGCCCTCCCCATCAGCCTAGAGGAGACAAGCGTGAAGGAATGTATCTTTGGAGACGTTCAAGAACTGGGGACCAGCCATTTTTGACAGCTGCCCAGAAGTCACATCCACCTACAACCAGGTGCTGGGGCTCCCACGCCACACCACACCCACACCCCGCAGCACCCACCCCAGGCCACTGGGTGGTGCTATGCAGGTTTGCAACATGCAGAGCAGACAGCTGGCCAAGACTGTCTCAGACCGAGACCGGGCTCACAGCGGTGTGGCAGCTCAGGTGGCTGGGCTTCATTAGCACAGATGCTAACACGGAGGACAGCCTGGTACCCACAGCTAAGCCCTAGTGCCTCCTGCTAAAATGCAAACAGCTTCCAGGACACCCACCTTCAGCCCTGGACTGCCTTGTCACTGTGATGGAGTGAGACTAAATAAGACTGTCCCATCATCACCCCAGACACAGTTGAAAAGGACAACATGCAAACGTCAGAAACAACCAAGTGACCCGTGATCCTAACATCAGCTGAATCCTCCAAGTCCCTGCCCGTGCCCCCTCCCAGACAGGCCCATGCTTACAGCTGTGCCCCATCTGCCTTGGAGAGGCCACCACCCCAGCCTGGTGACCACAGCTGCGACTGGGCACACTGTCACGTGTCACCTACCACAGGCCCAGGACTCGGGCTCAGCTGGGGACCAGCCTCAGCGTGCTGTGCGCCTCAGCTCTGGGGGCTGGCTGGCAGCGGCTCTGGTGAAGAGCTTTGTATCATCAAGGGGGCATGCATGCAGCTGTGGAGCCCCCAGATCCGGGCTCCAGCAACCCAAGAGTCTTGAGCCAGGAAGTGGTCATTTGCACGTGGCTGGTAAACCAGCCGTACCCGCTAGCTCGCCAATGCAGGCATACCCATGGGGGTGGGAGAGTGGGGAGAGAAGAGCTTGTTGTTGGCTGAGAGTGTGCAGAGCTAACACCGCTGTGAGTTTAAGTCAGAAAAGCAGAACTGTACCATTTGACCTGGCAGATGAGCTCAGAGGGATGCATCTGAACCTCCTCAAGCCACACGCAAGCCTGTGACTTAGAGCTTACGGCTGCTTCCATGATCATCCAGCCCTTAAAACACCCTGGAAAAGTTCCCAAAGGAGCCTTGCACTGAATCTTCTCCAACTGAAACACCCCGGAGGACAGTGCTGTTTCTCTTCCTTCTCCCCCGCAATCCCCATGCCAAGCGCTCTTTCCATTCTGATGGTCAATGAAGTGTATAAAGGAACTGTGCACGCCCCCTGGCAGGCAGAGAATGGAGTGGGGGGATCCACAGAGCTGATGGGCCCCTCTTTTCTGCAGCTCTCCTCCCACCCCCGACGTCTCTCCACCAGCCACGCTTCCTGGGCTCTGCTCCTGCTGCCAGCCATGGGCAAATGCAGGGAGCCATCAGGGCAGAAACTCATCACCTCATCCCCGACTTCCCTCTTGGGAATCAAGGCTCTCTGACCAGCCAAAGAAAACTCACAGTGCAGGTCTGGGAATTAATTGTGAAATGCGCAGGTACACATCTGAGTACCACCAGGGCTAAATCCTTAGGACATGACAGCGGTCACGGGCGGCCAGGGAACAAGCCACCGGCGTCCGTACTTACTTCCACGTGCCATTTCTGAACATGGACCGAACGCTCCAGGAAGAGCCGAAGATGTTGAAAGACTTGGAGAAGCAGTCGTTGTAGATCAAGCCCGTGTAGATGGAGAAGATGCCCATGAGTAGGATGAGGTAGCGCCCGTTGAAGAAGGTGTTCCAGATCTGGCCTCGAGCACAGAGAGAGCAGGACCGTCAGCAGGTTCCGCACCTGAGCCCGGAGCAGGGATGGTCTAGGAGGCTTCCAGGGCAGACGCCCTCTAGAGGGATCCAGGACCAAGGCAGACACCCATCGCGCAGTGAGATTTTCCTGAGCTTGTACAGGTGAGCCAGAAAGTCCCATATTGGTATTTATTATTGTGGGAACAAGTAAATATATATATAATATTGTCTGCTTGTTTGTTTTTCAGCATCAGCTGGAAAATGAACTGAACGGGCCAGCGTTTTGATTCTGTAGGTTAAGCGATCGCCTTATCAGTATCCCATCCGAGCAGCAGTTACAACTCCCAGCTGCTCAGCCACTCCCAATCCAGCTCCCTGCTAATGCTCCTGCGAGCAACAGAGTGATGGTTCAGTATTTGGGCCCTTGCCACCAGAGAGGAGGCTCAGATGGAATTTCTAGCTCCTAGTTAATGTGACTGGCCTAGATCTGGCTGTTGTGTGGTCATTTAGAGAGTGAATCAATGGATGGAAGGTCTCTCCTCTGCCTGTAAGGAGAAGGCGGGGAAGGAGACAGAGGAGAAAATAGGCCTCATGTGCTAAGGCAGGGACTTGAAGGTTGGAGGCTGGCTGCCACACTTCTGGAAGACCCAATCTGCACTCCCTTGGGGCCTTGTCATTGTCAAGTTGAGCTTCTTTCTGTCTGCTAAAAAGAGTGAAGGGCTTTCCCCAGAGCCTGGATGGTATGCTTCAATAACTCCAAGAACTGCTGAAGAGTTCTCCTTGACATTTGAATGTTTACCGTAGCACATGACCTTTGTTAAGCTTGTCATGGAAAAAGTATGTTAACCACAGGTAGTTTTCTGCCTACTAACATTGCTTATGATTAACTCACAATGGCATCGCCCAGCTAGCTCTAATGAATCCAATCAGTAATAAAGGATGGCAGATACTCTTAAAGTGAGGAACAGAGCTAAAGGCATATTTCCACTTTGTACAGTGTATTGCAAGGAACATAAAGGGACTAACGGATAAGCCTTGAACAAAGGCAGTTTTGTTTTGTTTTGTTTTGAGAGGCAGAGAGAGAGAGGAAGCAACCATCCATCCACAGGTTCACTCTCCAAACGCCAGGAACAGCTGAAGCCAGGGCTGAAGCCAGGAGCTGGGAATTCAGTGGCTCCAGGGACTCCCAGGGAACCAGTCATGTGTGTACTCACTGCCTCCGCCCGGGGAAGCTGGACTGAGAGGCTAGGGCCAGGCATCAAACCCAAGCCCACAAAACGGGAAACTGGCATCTTAACCGCTGGGCCAAACGTGCGCCCTCTGCTGCAGAGCCTTTGGGTTTCCACCTACACAGCCCTCTCTGTGGGCACCTGAGAACTTCAAGTGCAGAGCAAAGCCTCAGCATTAAGGATTTCCCAGCATGTCACAAGGACATTAGCCACAGGTTTATAGGAAAAGGATTTTGCCCTGAGAACGTAGTCCTGATATCTTAAGGCTTTTTTGTTTTTAAAAGGAGCCAGTGCAATGGTGTGGTAGGTATTACTGCAGTAGAGGATGGTTCAAAGCCTTGGGATGCTACACCTGCATGGGGGACCCAGAAGAAGCTCCTGGCTTCAGATTGGCTTAACTCTGGCCATTGTGGCCATACAGGGAGTGAATCAATGGAGAGAAGATCTTCCTCTCTCTCCTCTCTCTCCTCTCTCCTCTCTGCTTTTCCAATAAAATTAAATAAATCTTAAAAAAAAAAAAAGTCCAAACTTTAGACTCACAGGCCTCCCACATGGGTGGCAGGGACACAAATGACCAAAACCATCACCCTCTGCCTTGCAGGGGCACACACTGACAGGAAGCCAGCCTTGGCAGTGCAGCTGGGACTCAAACCCAGGTACTCAGGTAGGGGGTGTGGACCTCTCATGCTGTGTCTTAACAGCTGTGACAAATGCTGGCTCTGAATTTTGATTCCTTTTTCACTTGCCATCTTTCCCTCACCTGTCCTAAAAAAAAGTACGTGCTGAGAACCACATTCACGATGGGACCTCTTACCCCAAGGGATGAGGCTAGATTCCTAAAGGCACCCACCTCATTGCTGATCTTCTGGGAGAGCAAGTGCCGCTCGTTGAGGACCATCCAAAGGGCCGCCAGGAACATCACAAGTCCGTGGCCGCAGTCTCCGAACATCACCGCGAACAGGAAGGGGAAAGTGATGATGGTGTAGGGAGCTGTGGAGCGGAGACACACAGAAGCCTGACACCTGTGAACGGCACTGGGCCCCCCACCCCCAGAGTTCTCTGTCCCAGCTCCATGGCCTGCAAGCTGGATTCCTCTCTTGCCTTCTTCCATTACCACCCCCGCTCTGATACCTGCATAGCTCCCACATGCATGAACCCATCCATGAATATGCTTTCTTACTCCCCTACCTTCCATAGGGAGAAAGGTTAAGGGACCTGCCCATGAGTGCAGGTGTGATGGGATTTTTAAGTACTTGCTATATTCTTTCTATGACCAACCCCTCATCTGATTTTTCACCATTGATATGCACCAGGCATAACCAGCAGTTACTCGGAAGGATCCTTAACCCAGGGGAACTCTGCATCTTGAGTCACAGGATAGCTTCAGACTCAGGCTGTAGAAGAATAGCTCCATGAATTGTTTGGCTAAAACGCATCTGATCTGCCCCTTTGGTTTTATTAACCAGGGTGCCAAGACCCCACAGCTTAAGGCGTTGGAAACCCGTGCTTCTGATTCTGAGGTCTCTGGGTTTTGTCATTCCCAGAATAACTACAGAATTGTGGTGATGCTAGGATGGTCCTTGTTGAATCAGCAAAGGGAGAACTGGTAAAGACAAGGAAACATCTCTCACCAATCAGCATTCGCAGTAGACAACACAGGTCAGATTAAAGGAAGCCTCAGTTACAACCTTCTCACCTCCCAGGCCCCTCCAGGACTACCTGTCATGCAAGAGCGCCCCCCAGCGGGTCAGCTGAGCAACGTTGTAGATCCTTACCCGGGTTGATCTCGCGGTAGTTGCCCACACCATAGGCATCCACGATATTCTGGAAGCCGGCTGTGAACTTGTTGGTTCTGTTAAATGTCGGGGGAGCTGTCTTAGACTGCAGTGTGGTCAGGATGGGGGCCATGGAAGAGCCACTGAGTTCCTGCAGAAAGAATGCATGCCAGTAATGTACTAGGCACTGAGCTGTGGGCTGTGTGTGTTCTAGTCCCACGCTGCACTGACGGGGAGCTCCTGGCACTGTGTCCAGAGCTCTAAGAGCGGCAATGATGTCATTTGCAAAAGGTGAGAGGACCGTCAGTTCACCCAGCAGGTGAGCCATCAGATCAGAGCCCTTCATACTCCTGAGCAGGTTCCTATCACCTGCTCCTGGGAACAGCTGCCACTTGGCTCAATTCTAAGCTGTCCACCCTTCCCTGGCTCTCCCCATGTGCCCTAAAGAGCTCATCCACTTTCTGATTCATCTCTCTCTCTCTCTCTTTTTCTCTCTCTCTCTCTTCCCCAAAGGCCCGGACCCTTTCCAGAATTGCACTTGTTTTCTAATTGCCTGCTGAGGCTGTCAAACTCCAGAGCGAGGTCAATCACACAAAAACCCTGAAAACCACACAAAAACATTGAACCCTTCGGCTTGTCCTCTGACCCAGCCAGGTCCTCTGGTTCCCCAGGCTTCTTCCAACGCACCTGTCCAATACTCCCGGTCTCCTGACACTGGGGTCATCACAGTTATCCCATCTGCAGGTTTAACCTACCACTGAGCTTGCTACTGGGCGCCCATCCCCCAGAGTTCTCTGTCCCAGCTCCATGGCCTGCAACCTGGATTTCTCCCTTGCCTTCTTCCTTCACCTTCTACCTTCCTGTCACATTCATGCTCAACAGATACCCACTGGACAGAAAGAAAAGTGGGCTGCCCGTCAAACACTGAAGCAATGTTATTCCATCCATGTGTCTTAGCACTGGGTTAAGAACTGAAGCCATGAGGGTGGTGCTGTGGTATAGTATGGTAACCCACCACTTGCAGTACCAGCATCCCATATGGGCACTGGTTTCAGTCCTAGCTGTTTGACTTCCTACCCAGCTCCTTACTAGTAAGCCTAGGAAAGCAGCAGAGGCTGGCCCAACCTGGACCCTGGCATGCAAGTGGGACACTGGAAGAAGCTGCAGGCTTCTGACGTCAGTCACATGGACAGTGAATCATACATGGAAGATCTCTCCCTTTGTCTCTCCTTTTCTCTAACTCTGCCTTTCAAATATAAACAAATCTTTAATTAAAAATAGAAGAGATGAGCCCGCTACCAAGTCATCTGCTTAGGTGATGTGACAAGGAGGCTTGCGGGGGGGTAGCCAGGGCTGAGGCCAGGTGGTCCCTCAGCTTCCCTCTCGCCAGCCGCACTCTCCACTCACCATGCCCTGCTCCAAGGCCCTCTTGATGCGTGCCGTGTCTGCCACCGGGAACCAGATCTCAGCAATGACACACTGCTGGGTGACGTCGATGTTGCACATGTTCAGGACGTGGTAAATGGCCTTCATCTTCTGCACTTTGGTGACCCAGGAGTGCCAATTGGCCGCGGCTTCCTGCAGCAGGTGCTGGCGGTGAGATTCAGTCTGGGTGATGACCTGGACAAAGGACAGCCCACAGAAAAACAAGGGATGTTTATGGACGTGTCTGACAAGGTGGCCAAAGCAAAGGTTCATCGGTCATCACAGCTCTGTCTTTGACCTGCAGCTCTCCCACCTGACCTTAACTCTCACAAACAAGGCCTCATCCCCTTAACACCTGCAGGGAAAAAAAATTACTACCCTTCTCTTCTAAACCCTCACAGTCTCATTATTCTAGATTGAACTGTGTACTCAAGGTGTTTTCCATTGAAATCCTAAGACCCGGTGCCTGTGAATATGGCATCATTTGGAATTAGGGTCTGCACAGTTGGAATCAAGATGCGCTCATATTAGAGTAGGGATAGCCCTAATCTAATCTGACCGGAGTCCTTAGAATAGAAATAAATAAACATGTTTTAAAAAGTTGGACATCAAGGCACATGAGGAAGACTATCGCATGACAAAACCAGAGGTAGGGTGATGCATCCACCTGCCGAGTGACACCCAGAGCAGCCAACAACCACCAGGAGGTGAGAATAGGTGAGGAAGGCTCCTCCCTTGGTGTCTTCAGCCACGTGGACACCTTTGTTACACTGTGTTCTCCTTGCCGTGTCTGTTCACCAGCAGCTGAGCCTCTCAACTGTGATAAAATACATCGCTATTGCCTTAGACCACTGCCTTTGCAGCCATTTGTTACAGCAGACCCAGGAAGTTAATATACTGACCAGAATAACCCTTCCAACAATGACAAGTGGATTAGTGAAGCAAGGAAGGGATGACTGATTCGACCCACATAAAACTTGTCTAATGCAAATAGTTTCCGCTTCAATAATACAGCAAATGGAGTAAGTTTTTCTGAGAACCTTCACATGTGTCCACAGAAGGAACACAGCAGCCCCTGTCGGCATGGCTTAGAATCCCAGCCTCTCTGTTCCTGACCTAGGTTCCTGCCAGCGTGTACCCTGGGAAGCAGTAGGTGATGGCTCAAGTGCTTGGATCCTTGCAATCCATGTGGGAGATCCAGATGAATTCCGAGATTTTAGGACTAGCATTGTGGCACAGTGAGTTAATGCAATAACATCCCACACGGGTGCCAGTGCAAGTCCTGGCTGCTCCAGTAAGACCCAGTTCTTTATTAGTCACTTGGAAAAGCACTGGAAGATGGCTCAAGTACTCCACTCTCCCCTGCCACCCATATGGGAGACCCAGAAGACACCCCTGGCTCCTGGCTTTGGCCTGGCCCAACTTCGGTTGTTATGGAATGAACCAGCAGATGGAAGATCTCTCTGTGAATATTTCGATCTCAGTAACTCTGCCAGTCAAATAAATAAGACAAAATTTTAACAACAACAACAAAAAGACAATAATAACAAAGATACCTTGGATCAGGCCGGGGTGGCCACCTGAGGACTGACTAGGGTCAAGGTCAGCTCTCATTCCCAGCAAAGCACAACTGACAGGTAAAAATCATCACCCCCAGCTTATCACATCCTGTGTTCTTTAATTGTGCAATTGTCAGTAGACACAGCCAGACCAAACAGCAAATATCCCAGCCTCCCTTCCCCTCCTCTCCAGGTGACAGGACCCAGAGGGCGAAGGCCCAGGTGGCTGTCCCAGGATCACCAGCCTAGACCCCTCACTCACGGTGATCAAGTCTTCCAGTCTCACGTTGACATTAGCCAGCATGTCTCTGCGCTCAGCGGCGGGCTCTGGACACGGGTACACAGTGGCTCGAAACCTGTGTCGGGTTCATTTCGAGGGACACACGCAGGTTAGTGTGGGCAAGCCACCAGCACTGCCTTCCCTGCGTAGTCATCACTCACTGACTTGGCTTCAATGGTCTCCCTTCCCTAGAATAACTGCCTCCTGGGTGCTTGGAAAACGAGTAGCACACCTCCCATATTATGAAGCAAGGCTATGGCTCTGCCCAGTGAATCCTAAGATCTGAGAGCTGTTCCGTACATCAGACCACACCCTTGACCACCTCTTCCCCCTCCCGAATCCATCCTGCTGTCCTTGGTAATTTCTGCTTCCAGGAGCTGCATTGAAGAAGGTTCTGGAAGATCAGAGGCTACTTGGCTGTGCAGTGTGTCTGCTCCTTAGCAGCTGATGAACGGCACATCAAGGAGGACACGGAAAGCGTTAGCACATCTTGCCGTTGTTCAAATCCCAGCAGTATTTTTAATACCATCTGCAAAATGTGGGAAGCTGGCACTCTGAGCCCTGCCTGATCTGCAGGAAGCCCCCATCGGTGTATCTGCAAGGCACTTCTCCCTGCCTCCTGCTGCCCAGCACTGATGCGGCAGGTACAACCTGCCTGCTTACCCATCACAGATCTTCTTGATTTTCTGCCTGAGCTGCTCTCCTTGATAAAATATGATGAATATATTCTTTTTGATTTCTTCTCTCTAGAAAATCAGAGCAAGTGAAAAAAAAGGAAGAAGATTTTTTTTTTCCTTAGGACCAAGAAAGAGGAAAATACAAAATCCTACTTTTAGGCTTAAATGTTGAAACGTTTTTAAAAATTAGCAAATTTCAATTGTTCCCAGTTTGTCCACGTTTGCAGGTTACACCACCTGAAGGCCAGGTCAGCCAAGGAGGGCTGGATGGGACTCAGGGAGGCTGGGCCACACTGCTTAGAGGGAGAGCTGGGCTTGGTATTCAGTGCTAAGCCAATGCTGAGGGATGTGTTGCAGTTAGGAGACTGCAAGTCTTACGAGGAAGACAGGTGACACAGCTCCTGAGAGCTAACCCGCATGTAAATGCTACACTTCATGGATGAGTGGGTGCTTGATGCTTAACAAAGGTAAAAGCCACATCTAACTTCAGGCTCTCACGGGAGCTCCCTGCGGCCTCATCGAGCACTATTTAAACTGCATCTTTCAAGTCCAAGTTGGACAGTTACATGAGAAAGGAAGAAATATATGTTCCGTAAGTGTGTCTGATGATGCTCAGCTCTGACTGTACACAAAGAAATGGGAATAGAGAGGCTGGTGCAGTAGCCTAGTGGCTAAAGTTCTCTCCTTGCATGCACCAGGATCCCATGTGTGCGCTGGTTCTATTCCCAGAGGTCCTGCTTCCCATCCGCTCCATGCTTGAAGCATGGGAAAGCAGCCGAGGACGGCCCAAAGCCTCGGGACCCTGCACCCATGTGGGAGATCCAGAAGAGGCTCTGGGCTCCTGGTTTTGAATCGGCTCAGCTCCGGCCATGGCGGCCACTTGGGGAGTGAATTAATGGACAGAAGATCTTCCTCTCTGTCTCTCCTCTGTATATCTAACTTTCCAGTAAAAATTAAATAAATCTTAAAAGAAAAAAAAAAAGAAATGGGAACAGAAGCAATGTGTTACTTTAATCTCATTTAGCTTGAGGGGATAAAGGTAAAAATACAAAACCCATTATTGGAAAAGTTAGGGCAAGTCTGGTGAACACATCCCATAATACTCAGAGCGCTGGAATCAGGGGCTGAAAAGCCCTGTGTCAGGACACATCAAGTGCTAACAAAGTGCCCACATCTGTAAACCAGCAATCCTATTTGCCCTGAATTTATGTTATGGAAGTAACATGTAACATACAGACCGCCAGGCATGAAGAAGCTCATCAGAATGTCTATATTCTTAAAAAACAAAACAAATGGGGGAGTAAGTATGAGGTTTGTGTTTCTAAATAAGATTTCTTTTTCATTTTAACTATGAAGTTGTTTTTCATCAAATCAAACTTGATTTGGGGGTTGGAGGAGGATCTATTCTGGAAAAGACTATAGATTCTTCAGCAATAAACCCAGCTTCTTGGAATTAAAAGGAAATACATGGAGCCAGCATCGTAGCATGGCAGGTAAGGGTGCCACCTGCTTTGTTGGCGTCTCACATGGATGCCCGTTGGAGACCCAGCTGCTCCACTCCCAGTCCAGCCCCCTGTGGGTGTGCTTGGCAAAGCAGTGGAAGACAGACTAAGTACGTGTGCCCCTGCACTCACAGCGCAAGCCAGATAAAACTCCTGGCTCCTAGTGCTGGCCTGCTGCAGCCCCAGCCATTGCAGACATTTGGGGAGTGAACCAAAACATGGGAATCTCTCTCTCACTGTCTCTTCCTGTCTCACACACATGCACTCTAACTCTACCTTTCGAGTAATAATAATAATAATAATAATCTTTTAAAAGGAGTAAATCCATTCAAGTAACTAGGATAGGAGAGATACCTGCATTGTGGTAAACAGGTGCCATGTACAACCCTGGTGTCCCATCCTGGAATGCCAGCGTCACTCCTAGCTGCTCTGCTTCTGATCCAGCTTCCTGCTAATGCACTAGTAGCACAGTGAATGATGGTGCAAGTATTTGTAATGCTGGCACTCATATGGGAGACCTGGCTGGAGTCCCAGGCTCCCGGCTTCAGCCTGACCCAGACTCTGCCTTTGTGGACAGGGCAGATGGAATATCTCCCTCTCGCTATTTCTCCCTCTCTGTAACTCTTCCTTCCAGATGAAGCAATCTGAAAAAGAACTGCAGCTCTCAAGCTCAGCTCCAGGCTCACCCAATCAGAATCCACCTTCAGATGCGCAGAAGGGGGAAACGAATGGGTGTTAGCGCCAGCTGGCGGTCGCCTGTGTTTTGGGACTTTCTGTCCTTCGAGGGCCCCAGGGCTCCCAGTCGCCTGCCCGCCTCACCGTGACAGGGTCTTCCAGAGGCGTGTCCATCTCAGTGAACCTCAAGTACACGTTGCCTCGGCACACCCGCCACAGCAGCCTCTCGAAAGAAGCCATCCTCTCCCTGTTGATCACGCCGGCTGTGAAGCTGAGGGGTTGGAAGAGGAGACATTGGGGTGGGAGTGCAGGGAGAAGCCCCCATAGCGCCGCCACAAAGGAAGCTGTGAGCCTGGAGGTGTCTCCCCCCAGTGCCGTGACAGGGGCTACGAGGCCATCCCCACCGCAGCGCCCGGCTCCGTTTCGACCTTCTCTTTTCTTGGAATATGTTGAGGTTTCCTTCATCACCCCAATACAACAGATGTGCTTATTGTTAAAAACGTGATTGACATTCAGTGTAGCATGGTAACAATGGCAACAAATGATCGACCATAATCTCCATGAGGTAAATACATACATCGATTTTGATGCATCTCTCTCTTTTTTTTAATCATCCAGCTACTCAGACAACTGATGACCCAAACATCTTACCTTAGCCTCCTCAGCTTGGTGACTTTGGCTGACATTATTTTAAATGTACATTGGCCTTAAATTTCTGATGAAGCATTTTTGAAAATCTTGTCCTTCCATTTCAAATCCATTACCTGCCTACTGCCTCAAACAGTAGGCTCTCAAGTACGTGGGGACTGACAAATTAGAACTCCCAAACTCACAACTTTCAGAAATACTTTGGAAGTTCATCAATTCCATTTATACCCTAAATGAAATCCTCTCTCCCCCTCCCCCCTGCATAGATCTACAAGGACAAAATTAGTTTCTAGTACAAGGGCTTATAAGTCACTTGATTGTATAATTAACCTATTTCTAATTATCTTCAAAATCCCAAACTCCAAAAACATTGTATTCCCATAGGGGTATTTTAAACATAAAGAAAAAACCTATATCCAAAAACCATGTTCCCAAGCCCAGGAAAAGCTGAGAAACTCATCCAAATGACCATCTCCACACCCTTCCTACGCAGGGACAAAACAGACACTGCACGCTTTGGGATCAAGTCAGGTCATCATTAAATGGGAAACAACCTCCAACTCCTCTCACCTAACGAGGTGACATCCGGGTTGACTACTGAGGGTCAGACTTACATCCGCGGGAAGCAGTTATTCTAGTGGCTAGTGGCCACTTACTCTTTCATTCATTCATACGAACACTCAGGGAAACCTAGCACATGTCAGGCCCTGAGCTGAAGACCACAGACCCAGCCACGCGTGATTCTCAGCACACACAGTGACACTAACCCCAACTTGCCAGCCACGTGGGCGGGCACCGCTCTCAACTCCAGCAGCCCCGAGGTGTCTTCCGTAAAGAAATCTTCAGCTAAGTTGGTTTCTGTCTGAAAGTCCAAAAAAAAAAAAAAAAAGCGCTCTGGTCATGTACACACTTTCAGAGAACTTAAAAGCCATCTACACCCTTGGGTTTTCTCTGCTTTGAGTTAAGGTGGAAGTCTCCACAATTGGCTGAGAGAATTGGGACAAGCAGAATGTCCCCGGCCGAATCAAAAAGCATCCCGGTGTGCCCACCAATACCCCGAATCTGCCCAGACCAACTGTACTCTGACCCGTGTTTGCAGCTGAGTTGGTGTGAGCAGCGCCTCTCTGCTGAGCGCAGTAGCATTTTCGCCCACATCTCAGCATGTACCACACTGTCCCAACTGGGCTACAGTCCCCCATCACCAACACAGGTCTCCCCCCATGGGGACAGACACAAGCAATGTTGTCATCTTCCAAATGGAAATTGAGGCTCTTAGGAGAGGGTCCCGAAATAAACAGCACCCCCCCAAAACAAACAAACAAACAAACAAAACCTCAAAGAAGTCCTGGGTTTTCTTCAGGAGATATTTGAGTTCTGTCAGCTCTAAGAGACTCCTTTTCAGTGCCTGCTGGTTCTGGTTGGCTTCCTGTAACTCCGCTTCCAGTTTTTCCAGAACAGTCTGCACAGGAGGGCAAAGAGGGTCAGCCTAGCAGGCAGTGGGCTGGGACAGTCCCACAATACATGAACCCCATCAGCGAACTAAGAATGAAAGACGTATTCAGTGCTTCGTGCAGCAGTCGCCAACTGCATGTGCTTGGAGAGCACAAGCTGGAACCACACACTGCCTGGGCTTCCGCCATCACATGCAGGATTAGAAGGCACTCTAGGCAGATGGACAGCAGCTCCACGCAGAAGTCAACACATTTCAGCCATTGCCTAGCACTCTTGACACAGAAGATGAAGGGAGGCCACCTGTTGAATTCTTGTGCCTCAGACACCTTGCAATAACGGGTGAGCCCTAAGGAGGGGAACTGAACACCACGTCTGAGTCGCCACCGGTCCTAGGAGAGGGCCACGTCTAAGCCCAGAAGAAAATGCTGCAGAGAAAGGTGAGCACAGCAGCCAATCTCCTTTGCTAAATGAGCAAAGAAGAGGCGCGAGGTCAGCATGGTGATAGTTCAACACCAAGCGTCCACACAGGGGCGCTCTGGCTCAAGTCTCAGGCTGCTCTGCTTCCAAACCACCTCCCTGCTAATGCACCTGGAAGACAACATATGATGGCCCAAGTGCTTGGCCCTGGCCCCGCATGGAGACCCGCATGGAGACCCAGATGGAGCCCCCGCTCCTCTGCTCTCTGCCTGGGCCAGACCTGGCTGTTACAGCCACTGGGGGAGTAATCCACTTGAAAGGCATGATTTTCCCTTGCTTTCTCTGTCTCTCCTGAAACAGAAATATATGTGTGTGTGTGTTTATATATGTGTATATTTATACATATATGTGTTTATAAATATATTTGTTTACATGTGTTTTTACATATATTTATATGTGTATATATATATTTGTGTTTATATAAACGCAAAATCAGCTCATTGAAGTTGTGCTTATAGAATATAGTCTGGAATAGAACTTAATTTTACAATGTCCAAAGAGATTGCTTCTAGCTTTTTGGCCAAGATCAAGTGTAAAAAGTCCAAACATATTTTAAAAAGGTGCTATTTTTATTGGAAAAACACACACATATACTGACACACACATACATACAGATTAATAAGCCACCATGTCCTATAATAAAAATATATATAAAAATAAAGCTACCAAGACATCTTAAAAAATTAAAACTGCCCCAGAGAGATCAGCTGTCTACTGTACATAATTCATAAAAATAATGAATCATTTAAAAATATAAAAGAGCATTTAGTCAAACATCTATCAACAGTGAAAAGGGTAAAATGTGTTACATTCAATAAAAAAAAGAATACAGTGTAGCAATGAAAATGATTTAACTTCAGAAACATGAAACAATGGAGTCTTTGAAAATAGTAAAAGAAAATCCCAGGTTACAGAACAGGAGTGTAGCTCCACTTGTGTTACTCAGAACACTGAATTACAATAAATAAATGATAAGGAGAGAGAGAAGACACCCAAGCTTAAGCACACGGAAGTTCATCCTTGGCGCTACTTGTTTCTTTCATTTTTATTTTTAATTTTGAGTTCTATGATGCAAGTCCGTAGAGTATGTATGGGACTCCCGTACTTTCTGTCTAACACAGGGTGACGGGCACACAGCGTTTGCAGGGTCATGATTCCTTATGCCTTTTACAAATTTTATGAAAACTATCAATTCAACATTTAGTAAAAATTGCAAAGAGACCCATATGCAAACATACTGTAGTAATAAAACTACACAGCAACAAAAAGCCAGGTAAGTCACACAGAAATGACCTCTGGACTAGCAGTAGATTTTAGGAGAGATGTGCCAGGTATACATCCTGGCCTCTTAACTAACTGGGTGTGTGTCCTGCAACGTGAAGCATCAGTGCAAGCCATAGCTCAAGCCAAGAGAGGGCAGAACGGGTTGGTACATTAAGAAAAGCAGGAAAGGGGGGTGAGGGCAAAGCAGACGGAAACGAAAAAGCCAGTAAATCAGCCATCGCAGGAAGTGGCCTGGGATCAAGGAAGTGACCTGGGATCCTGCTAAAAAGGAGCTGGTTCTAAACTTGGAGGGGAGGGGATGGGGAGAGTCCATCTCAAACACTCTCCTGCCAAAGCAACAAAATATGCAGGCAATGAAAAAGAACACCCACGCAAATGTTAGCGCCCCTCCTCCACCCTGACTCTACAATATCAGACAAAAATGGAAGGTTTTAAGCACAGAATGCAGAGACCTGGAATGCAGGTGTCTTGGCAAAGTTCAAGAAACGGTTATAGGATGGGGAATTCAATCCATCAACCCACACCACATTCAACCGGAGAAATGGTGTTTTTAAATTAGTATCTGAAACACACAAGGAACTTCCAAAAGTTTGTGGAAAATAGAACTAGAATTATGGATTGTTTACAAAATCCATGCAAAGCAGCAGGTAAAACATCGGTTAAGATGACCCCATCCCGCATTCAAGTTCCCAGGTTTAACAGCTGCTCCAGGCTCCTGTCTCCAGCTTTCCGCTAATGCCTACCTAGGGAAGGAGTGCCAGCTCAAGGAACTGAGCTGCCCACATGGGGATTTAGTTCCTAGCCCAGCCATGGCTGTTACAGGCGACTGGGTGTAAACTGGTGGCTTAGAAGCTCTGTCTCTTCACCTCTCAAATAAATAGATAAAAATTTGAAATGTATGTATATTTTTTTCACAATACCCATTTTATACCTATTGTGAAAAAAAAAAATTGCACCAAAAGCATTTTTTTACATCAAAATGAACTCACTTCTAATTCCATTTCCCTGCAAATTTTCTGAAGTCTCCTCCTATAACTTTGTCTATATGGAAATAAAAACACATGCTAACTTTTAACAAAAGCAAGGAAGTCTCTATGCTTACCCAGTAATACTAAGTAGACAATATTACTAGTAATATTAAGAAGAATATCCACAGTTATCTAAATAGATTGTAAGATATTCCTCCCTTTTCCAACCACATATCTGGGCAAGGCTGGATTATCTTCCAACACTCAACTGGAATGTCACGGTTTATACTACAGATAGCTTCAAAAAATCGCAAGAATTTGAAGATGGCTTCACACAAACAATAAAGGAACACTCTAGGCAGTGAAAAAGCTCAGCTCTACAGAGCCTTACCCTACCTGCCTGTCCCCTTCCTCCCCTGAGAACAAAGTGTGCCCAGATCCTACCTGGTCTGACTCTGCCTACCTCCTGGGGTTCCTCTCCCTCCACCCTGCCCCCTCACTTCGTGCCCCACTATGTGCTCCTGGAGGCCTGGGCAAAGTTGCTTGCTCCATATGGCACCTTGCACAAGGCGGGCAGTCAATGTTTTATGAAAGAACGATGGGAAGGCCGCAGACAGGGCAGGGAAGGAGCAAGGGAAGGGCCTCCCTAGCCATGACAACCTTGGCTAAAGGACATCGCTAAGTGCCTGCAGGTGAGCTCCAGGAGCCAGTCTGTAGCTGCCTCCAGCTACAGAGGACGTTCCAACCAGGCAGACAACCAGAAACGCCCATCCCACCTGCAATTGGCCTAATCAGTGGCACAAAACACTGATAAGACTTTGCTGCCTGTAAGAATCTCACACATGCCAAGGAAGTCACTACTAGAATGGGATGAGCTGCTCCAGAGCTGTGCTCTCCCCTGGAGCAGCTGCAATGGCTGTGAAATTGGTGCACTGGGATTGCCCCAGGGGGCGGGGGAAGAATGCTACAAAGTGGACATTCAGGTAGCTCGGCCTCTGAGCCTGCAGCAACCCAGTGACAGATGGCCAGAAGCTTCCATTTAGGATTGGGCCATCCTTGGCTGCAGCGTGTGGTACAGCGCAGAGCTTACCTCCAGGGTAATCATTTCCCGTGGCAGAGGGGTCTGCGGGTACTTCTCAGGCAACTGAACGGCAATCTCATTCCGCATCTCATCTTCCAGAAAACCTGCAAGGGAGGGAACCCCATGAGAGCACCCCGGGGGGCTGTGGGTTTTCCTAACTTGAGAAGTAGGGTCAAATAAGACAGGTGTCTTTGGGGCTGCACCGCCCTTGGGCCTGCGGTAGTTCCTGACGGCCACCCCCCACCTCCCTCAGGACCACCCCCAAAACAGCATCACAAACTGTGCCACATTTGCTTAATGAAGTCCATAAACCATTCGCCACATTGCCAGTTCCCATTCGGATGGTAAGCAAAAACTTGGCTTACGAAGGATTCTTTCCAGCGACTCACACCTTCGGACTTCATTCACAAATTTCCTTTGGAAACTGCTCACGTTCGCATTTAGCTGCAGGATTGGGGGAGACACAAGGCACACGTTGGTAACCACAGCTGCCTGCATGCTGAATTTAGACATTATCTTCCTAATGCTGGAGAGTGTTAGTGGTATTGTCTTAGAGATAAATATCTTCACGGAGGTAAGACAGGCAAGTTACAGGCAAAACACACTTGGTTTCCCTACACTCAATCACCAATCTGAAAGAGAGTAAAAGTGCTATTTTATATTGGTCCTATGTCTTTGTCTCTCTTATGATTTATTAATTTGATGGGGGATGGTGCAATGGCATAAAGGTAAAGCAGCCATTTGCACATACAGGTGCCAGTTCAAGTCCCAGTTGCTCTACTTGTGGTTCAGCTGCCTGTTAATAGCCTTGGAAAAGCAGCAGAGGATGAGCCCAAGCTTGGAACCCAGACACACATGGGAGATGCAGAAGAAGCATCTGGCTTCCATAAATGGATCGGCCCAGGTCTGACCATTGCAGCCATTTGGCAGTGAACCAGTGCATGGAAGATCTCTCTGTCTCTTCCTCTCTCTGTAACTCTAATTTCAAATAAATGAGAGGATTCACTTGTTTGAAAAGCAAATTGATAGAGCTAGAGTAAGGGCAAGAGTGAATGAGAGAAAAATCTTCTATCTGCTGGTTCTTTCCCCAAATGGCTACAACTGATGATGGACCAGGCTGAACCAGGAACCTGAAACTCCTTCCAGGTCTTCCATGTCAAAGGCAGAGTCAAGTATGTGTTGTCTGAGGCACATTAGCAAAGAGCTGGATCAGGACTCAGAGGAGCTGGGACTCCAACAGGCCTATAAGATGCTGGCAGCATAAGCAAGTGGCTTAACCCACTACTCCACAATGTCAGTCCATGGCCCTCTCACTTCAAATGAAACAAGTCTTCCTATCTCTATGCTGTACATATTCTTAGCTACATTTGCATTTTTGATCCTCATAGACCTTACTAAGATCATGGATATGACCAGACTTTGAAAACTATGTAGTCCTTTGGTACAAATTTAACTCCTGTGTTAGGAATCAACCCTTGGCTCAGTCCAATTCAAGCTGAGGGTCCTTTGTCTAGAAGGCTTATCTGTGGATGTGCTTTGGGTTTTGGATTTTCTTAAGATTTTGGAGTATTTACATGTAAACGAGGCAGCTTAGGAAGAGGACCCAAATCTAAACACAAAATTCTTGCATGCCTGAGATACACTGGGTGATTCACGTAATAGTTTGACTGTACCTGGAGTGCAATTCATCACATGCCATGTTGGCAATCAAAAAGTTTTGGATTTTGAGTACCTCACAACTCATATTTTCAGATTAAAGATGTTTAACCTGTAAATGCTTTTGAGATCCCGCTTCGCATCAAGTCCTGAGGTACACTCTAGAGAAGCACCAACAAGACATGATGCCTCTCCTTAGCTTTGATTTTGATCTTGGTGGGGAAGTTAAAGAAAAATAATCAGATGAGTTTTCTAGTTTGGACTCAATAAGAGGTGGGTAAAGATCTAAACTTTCGCAGACGGCCAACATTGCAGAGCAGTGGATTAAGCCACTCCCCGCAACACTAGCACGCCAAAGCAGAGAGTACTGGTTCAAGCACTGGCTCACTTCCCATCCAGTTCCCTGATAATGTGCCTGGGAAGGCCCTAGAAGATGGCCCCAGTCCTTAAACCCATTACCCACCTGGGAAACCTGGGGAACCCAGATGGAGTTCCTGGCTCCTGACTTCAGCCTGGCCTGATCCCATTTGCTGCAGCCAACTGGGGCATAAATCAATGGATGGAAACATCTGTGTGTGTGTGTGTGTGTGTGTGTGTGTGTGTGTGTTCTTTCAAATAAATGAAATGAATTCTTAAAAACTAAACTGCCCCTTGACATCACACATAAGACAGCCTATCCCTAGAACTGGAACTCAATCCTGGTAGTCACCGCTAACTGTAGATCCAATACTTTGTCCCAACTCTGACTAGTCACAGAAAATAGGTTTCTATGTTCAAACCAAGATTTGGTGAGCCACAAGTCCACTGACTATACCCAAGGCTTAAAGATCCTACACAGGAAATAAAATACAATGACATTTAAAGGTGGTGATGGCTTTAGAATTTCAGAAGATCCCTGTGGCAGGTATGGCGAGGGAAACCTGGCTGTGAGTGGCTTTCCCAGGAACATCAGAAATCCTGGCTAGAGGACCAGTGTCATGGAATTCCACCTGCTCTAGCTCTGAGCTCCTCTCAGAGGAACTCCCTCTGGGAGCTGGGGGGAGCTCCCAGAAAAGAAGTGTTGTGAAAGAGTTCCTATTTCCACCCCCACCTGCCTCTTATGGCCAAAGAACACAGGGCTTACATCTTTGAATTGAACCAATCCAAGCTCTCCAAGTTCAGCCACGCAGCAGTACGCAGCCTCCACCTGGAGAAAGAGCTGTGACAAACACATCTCCTCACTCCGAAACACAGACGCCATCCTGGCCCAACCTTAGCCTGCAGGGGGAGAGAAACAAGATATGGAAGGCAATAAATGCATGGAAAACTTCAGCTGGAATTTGTTTAATTAAAATACCACAAGGTAAAATAGCCCAATAGCAATTACTCCTGACTTAAAAAAATAAGTGAAAATAAGACTACATTTTTTACTCTCTTTCAGGTTGATGTAAGATTAAAAAATATGAATGAAAGTTAGAGGGTATAAGGAAGCAGGCCCCTTCATATACTCAAAATGAAAACTGTTCAGGTGTTGTTAGTGAAAATTCTTTGTAGCATTTACAGAGAGCAGTTGCCAGGATCTACTGAATTTTATGACCCAAAGTTTCCGCCGCTATTTACCCAGCTGTGTATAGAAAAGTAAATGCACATGAAATTTCTCATAACATTGCATACAATCATTAAAATAAGTGGCTCTTGGGGCTGGCACTGTGGCATAGCAAATTAAGCCACTGCTTGACATCCCATATACAAGCTCATGACCTGGCTACTTCAATTCTGACACAGCTCTCTACTAACGCACCTGAGAATGCAGCAGAAGATGGCCAAGTGCATGGACTGCTGCCAGCCAGGTAGGAGACCCAGACAGTATTCCTGGCTCCTGGCTTCTGCCTGGCCCAGACCCAGCTAGTGCAACCATTTAGGGAGTGAACCAACAGAAGAAACCAGCTGTCTCTTCCTTTCCCTAGAGACAAAGGATAGAAAGAGGAGAGACAGAGACATCTTCTATCTGCTGGCTTACCTCCCCCCTGCCACCAAATGGCTGAAACAGTTGGAGCTGGGCTGGTCCAAAGTCAGGAGCCTAGAACTTCTTCTGGGTCTCCCACGTGGGTTCAGCGACCCAACGACTTAGGGCATCTCCCAATGCCTTCCCCAGGCATATTAACTGCATCAAAAGTGGAACACCTGGGAGTTGAACTGGTGTCCATATGGGATTCCAGCACTGCACTGCACGTGGCAGCTTTACTTGCTACCCTGCAGCACTGGCCCCATAACTCTGCCTTTCAAGCAAATAAATAAAATATTTAAAGAAAAAAAAATAAGTGGCTCTAACCTAGATATCCATCGATAAGGGAACTACTAAACAAACTGTGACAAATCGCAGCTCTGTGCAGTCAGCAGGTACTCAACAAGAAGAGGAAAAAATTCTGGGTTGGTTCTGCTCACCTGCAAGTCATAATTCCACTACACAGTCACAGGTATGCAACGAACAGCTAATTTTAGAAAATGACTCAGACTCACATTCTGCAGATGGGGTCCCAGATACACAGACTCAAGTACAAGGACAGGTGGAGCATTCCTAATCTGAAAATCCTAATCCAAAATGTTCTCACATCTCAACTTTGAGTCAGCCACATGACCCCACCAGTGAAAAATCCCACCCGCTCCTGTCCTCACAGGACAGGTCACATTCAAATCAGGTAACACTTGAAATACTGGATGAAATTACCTTCAGGAGACGGTAGAAGATAAATAGGAACCAGAAACTAATTCGGTGTTTACATTTGGGTCCAATCCCCCAGGATAGCTCATTATCCAAAATCTGAGAAAATGTCAAATGTGAAACATGTCTGTTCCCAAGATTAAGAACACTCAACCTGTATTAGAACCATCCCAAATGCCTTGGCAGGTGTATGCCCCAACTGTGAAGCGGGGAGAAGTAACCCCATGGGGGGGTCATACACCTGAACACAGCATGTATTCTATGGGAACTGAACCCAGGCAGGGTCAAGGACCCTGAGAAAGATCCAACGCCCACTGAACCGTGGGGTGTGGTAGCCACCAACCCTGTCTATTCAGGAAGCTAGCAGGCCAGGGCACCTCCCAGGCATGGATGCTTTTCAATGGCTCAGCCAGACACTGTGAAAACAAAAGGAAAGTGGGGGGGGCAACAGAATCCCTTCCAATCCAGAGATCCAGCCATAGCCAACCCAAATTGTCCCTGCCCCCCTCCCCCAAGTCAACATTCTGGAAGGGTTGTCAGTTCTAGAACATGTACAATTTGCCAGACTCTGTGTGTGGCCATTGTCCCAGTTGTGGCGGGACAATTGAAAGCCTTTGAGCTGGCTGAGAAAAGGTTACCACACTGGTTTGTTTCCCACAGCTGTCATCTGCCTTTGCTCTGCTCTCTGGGAAGCTTGCATTTCATTCTCGAGCTCCCATCTGCCACAGGGCCTTTGTCCGTGCTTCCCTCTGGGTTTGGAACCTCAACACCCACTTCCCCCCACCCCCAGCCCATCTTCCCATCCGTATAATCCTGACATTCTTCCAGTCCTCTTCCCAGAGGTCTTTCCCAACCTTCGCCAACACCCCCAACGACTCAAGGCTCCTCCTGTATGTTGCCAGGACATTCATCATTTGCAACTGCTTGTGAAAGGACTGTTTGTATTCCACATGAGCTAGTAAAAGCACGAGATGAGGTTAAATTTATGCCATGTTTTCACTCTAGCACTTTTTTTTTTAAGATTTATCTATTTTTATTGGAAAGGCAGATAAACAGAGAGGAGGAGAGACAGAGAGGAAGATCTTCCATCTGAAGGTTCACTCCCCAGGTGGTCTCAATGGCTGGAGCTGAGCCAATCCGAAGTCAGGAGCCAGGAGCTTCCTTTCCTCCGGGTCTCCCACATGGTGCAGGGTCCCAAGGTTCTGGGCCGTCCTCAACTGCTTTCCCAGGCCACAGGCAGGGAGCTGGATGGGAAGCGGTGCTGCTGGGATTAGAACCAGCGCCCATATGGGATCCTGTGCATTCAAGGCAAGGATGGGCCCCACTCCAGCACTTATATAGTTCAATATGGACCACAAAGAGGATGCTCAACCAACAGATCCCCCTTTCTGTTGACTGGACAATCAACAGCAGCCCCTCCCTCCATCAGCGCACTGCCAAGGAGAAGTTTTCACACTGCCCCTTCTCCTAAATAAAGCAGCAAAGAGTCCTTCCTTTGACATTAGCTTCACGCAGACTAAACAGCACAGAAGACCCTCCCCCCGCCCCCCGCCAACACACACACCTGCTTACCCTCACTTCCTCCCAGCCAGTCGTGGTGAGGGGTCTGGAGCTGGGCCAGGGGCTGCAGCTTCAAAGTGGCTTCCTTCCTTTTCAAAGCACCACGCAGGGATCCCCTGGCCGCAACAGTTCGATTGTATGGCCTGTGAGGGCCCCCGGGGGAGGGGCCTGGCGGCTGATCCCTGACCGCCTCCCTGAGGCAGCGCCCCGCCCTCTCTCCTCCCCAGGTTGTTCTGTTGTATCAACAGCTGCCTGTTGTGGGTGAGGACAAACCTGCCTCACCGGCCAGCCCTGCTCAGTCCTCTCAACCCACCTGTGCCCTCCGCGCTGACCTTGAGCCCCCACCAGGAAGCAGTGACTGTTTTCGAATGAAATTACCCTGCCCCTCGCTAAGCAGAGGACTGGAACCAAGGCTTCTTGGGGCCTTAGGCAAGTCCTAGATAACATTCTACTGAGCGAACCAAGCACACATTGAAATTATATAAATGAAATGCACTAAAAATAATTTTATAATAGAAAAAAAACATCGTGCTCACCATCCTGCCAACCACTGTTTTCAAAAACACTCCATGTACTTTCAAAGACCAGACACATAAGTCAGTTTTTTCCAACTGTGTATTTGAAAGAATAACAGACAAGAGATTCTCCATTCTCTGGGTCACTTCCCAAGAGGCTGCACTGAGTAGGGTCAGGCACAAGCCAGGAGTTTCTTTTCTGTCTCCCACGTGGGTACAGCAGGCCCAAGCAGCCGGGCCATCTTCTGCTGCTTTACCAGGCATAGTAGCTGGGAGTTAATTCGGAAGTAGAGCAGCCAGGATTTGAATTGGCACCCACAGGGGATGCCGCTGGCTACAGCTCCATCTTTCTAAATACTCAATGGCTACAATTTGTACGCAGCCCAGGAAGGAAGGAGACGGAGCCAAATGTGATATTTACCCTTCACTGAGTGAGGATTATTGTCTTTCCTCTCTCCTTTTAGCTGGAGTGGAGGAGGATGAGAAGGCAGCGAGCTCTAGGATGGTTCTGGCCCTGCGTAAGCTCACTAGCGCCACCTGTCTTGAGGTTAATGTTAATGAGTTTCCCTATGTACATCCACATGGAGTCCCTGTAAATGTTTCCCCACATGAGGGGATGCCTTTTGGTTCTGTTTCTACTTTTTTATTCTGGACAAAATAAAACAAAACTTTGGCATGAGTCCAGTGAGGAGCCCCCTTGTCTGCATCCCTTAGCATCAATAGCTGTGGGCTTTGCAGCATCTACACCCCACCTGCTCTTGATTAATTTGAAGCAATTATTTCTTTCAAACTATTTTCTCATTATCACTAAAACACACACACACAAATGTCACTGGCTATTTCTAAAGTACAGCAATCGTTTCTTAATATCAAACATCCTATCAAGGTTCAAATTTTCCAAGTTGTCTGAGATTTGCGTTTTCATTGAATCTTTCAGCTGATCCTTGTGCCAGACAAGCCAGAAAAGCTGTTTTAAGATCCCAGGCTGGAAAATGAAGCTTTGGCTTGGGAGGCACAGGTGGCCAAGCAAAAACGTGACTGTAACATTGTCTCATTATGTATTGCAACATTGTTTGTATTAAGCACGTAATTGGAAACCACCTAAATTCTGTCACTCATCGGATAAACATTTGCTAAGAGCCTGCTCTGTTCTGGAAACAGAGGATGGGGCAACAAGTAGAAGGCAAGGCCCTCCCCGTCCAGAAGATGGTGTCCACATGGAAGAAGCAAAACTGTAAGCAAGGGGCTGGCACTGAGACATAACAGGCTAACCTCCCAGCTGCAGTGTCAGCATCCTGTTTGCACCGGTAGGAGTCTCGGCCACTCCACTTCCCATTCAGCTCCCTGTTAATATGTCTGGGAAAGCAGCTGAACATCATGGCCCAAGCATTTGGACTTTTGCACCCTCATGGGAGAGCTAGAAGTTTCTGGCTCTTGGATTTGGCCTGGTCCAGCCCCAGCCATTGTGGCCATTTGGGGAGTGAACT